AATGTAACAGTAATTCACTGTGGGTGGGATAGGAGAGGTGGAGGGAGAAGGGTAGCTATAAAATTAGGTTGAGGCCAGAGGCCCTCAGCTGTAATTTACCTACCCCTATAGGGCATCATAGTGGGAGATCCTGAAAAAACAATACAAATCAAAACAATGATCCTGCTACACAAACTTTGGGGAATCAGTTTGGAACTGAGTGATTGGTTTCCCATTACTGACTCATTCTTTTGGTAATGGGGAGTTGAATCCATCAAGTCACCACCAATCCTCCTTTGTAGCCACATCATTGTGGAATAAACTTGAGAAGACTGTAAATTTCTCTTCCGGACTGAGTAGTAAGTACTTCATTAGTAAGTGTCATGAGTCCTGTGGTAACAATTTGTAAAGTCCTTTGAGGAGAAAGGCAAAATCATAAATATTAATTATAGCCATTGTTTTGATGAAAGGAGGATTACTGGAGGCACAGAAGCCTCTAAATCTACCTATTAAACCATACTCCAGCTCTTAAGTTCTCGAATGAAGGGGTTAATTATATTAGAAAAAATTCCATGGGATTCTTCTGTGGTCTGAGGTCTAATAAAAGGCTCACTTTTCATATGACATTATTTTAGAAGTGCTTTCCAAAGCTCAGAGTCATTTTCTTTCTTTTTTTTTTTTTTTTTTTTTTTTTGAGACGGAGTCTCGCTCTGTTGCCCAGGCTGGAGTACAGTGGCCGGATCTCAGCTCACTGCAAGCTCCGCCTCCCGGGTTTACGCCATTCTCCTGCCTCAGCCTCCGGAGTAGCTGGCACTACAGGCGCCCGCCACCTCGCCCGGCTAGTTTTTTGTATTTTTAGTAGAGACGGGGTTTCACGGTGTTAGCCAGGATGGTCTTGATCTCCTGACCTCGTGATCCGCCCGTCTCGGCCTCCCAAAGTGCTGGGATTACAGGCTTGAGCCACCGCGCCCGGCCACTCTCAGAGTCATTTTCATGAGAAAAAAATTTAATAAAGAAACTTTAAATGATTAGTGTGTTTCATCAGGAATGCAATGCAGTAATAGAGTCAGATTATTGGTGCAAAGCCCCAGACTTTAGTGTTAAAATGAACCCCATCTACAGGGTGACATTTTTAAGGAGGTATAAAACACACTTAAGGCTTTTTGAAATAGTTAGGAAAGAGAAAAAAACTTGAATAAACATATTTTTTCATATTTTATATGTGTTATATGTGTTACCATGGAGAAAATAATTAGAAAGTTACTTCTAAATGAGTGACTTCATTTAGATGAAAATGTTTCTTTTGTGAACTCCTACACTAGCTAAAAAGCCATAAACTCTGCTGACGGAAGGTGTTGATAATTTACTATCCTTATAAATGTCATCTTTTAAAGTGCTGATGCCTGAAAAAGGAAAGGGATGATGTGTCACCATGTTAAAGGAAACTTATTTAGAAAGAAAGGGGCATGGTAAAATTCAAATGAATGAGTGGACGATTAAGTTTTAATTTGTACATAGGCCTATAAAAAGATTAGGACAAAGGTTTGGTTTTTAGTATCATTCTTCTTATCATAAAAGTAAAAATTATAAAATATAAAAAATTATGTGTAATTCCAACATCCAGAAAAAAGCCATTAAAATTTTATTGTCTCTAGTTATTAAACTATTTTTAACAAAATTAGATAATACAGTGAATATTGTTTTGTAATTAGCTTTTCTCACTTAATATATCAGATCATCTTTGCATACTATCTGTTCATGTAACTTTTATTGAAAGCTATACTTTGGTAAGATCATTTTAATGGCCATAAAATTTTGACCCTACGACTGTACCATAGTTTGCTTAGCAATCCTGTTGGATATATAGGTGTATCGATCAGAATGCATTCTGATCTCAAATAAGTTTACCCTCAAAGGTGAATTGGGTGGCTGTTATAATAGCAGAGGAAGAAAAGGGCGGGCCTCTGAGTCATTTGGATGCAGAGCTGGAAGCATCAAGACTGTCTTTCCATTTCTCTGCCTTAAATCTTTCTTCTGTTGTTGTCATCACTCATTCTCCATCACTTCAAATGACTTCATGAATGGAGATGACCATAGGCAGCTCCAAAGTTACAGGGCAATTCCTGGGGGAAGGCTTAGCAATGCCAAAGGAAACAAAGCTCCTTTTTCCAGCTTTATTTGGGAAATCTCCAGAAAAGAAAGGCTCAGAAAGGCTTGCCTTTAGGCAGGTACTCACTCCTGGACCAATTGATAGAGCCTTTGGGAGTTACTCCAATTACCTGGGCCTTGGTTATGGGCCTCCCGGTGGTCAAGGGGAGAGCCAAAGGAGTAGATATAGACCCATCCAAATGCAGGGAAGCCAGTTTTATTTTTCCTTATAGGAAGTGAGGGAGGCCAATCCCAGAAGACTGGAAAATACGGTGCTGTGGAGGTAAATATAAGCCTTGTCCTTTATGTAGGCTGTGACCATTTTATGCAATTAAATTTAGCTTGTAGGTAAATCTTGGAGAAAAGTTTAAAAACAGAGGTCAAATTGATGTCAGCAAGATGGTCAACTATCACTCTCCTTCAAAAGATGGATTAAAACAATGAACAAACCACTACATTTCAACCAGAATGACTAAAAGAGAGTGCTGGAGCACAGCAAGGGTGTGGTAGAAACCCTGCTGAGGGCAGAAACTCAAGATGGCTGCATCGAGAAGGGAGCAGAACACTTTGTCTCTGCCACACCATCTTCCTCGTTGGGATCAGCTCAGGACTCCAGCTCCATAGCGACTCTGAGCACTTGTGCCCTGGAACATAGCACTGCTGTGGCTGCCTGTGGCTCGTGTCAGACCCAAGGCCAAGAGGGATCCCGTCAGTCAAGTCTCTCCACTATTGGGGAAAATAAGAATGGGAGGATCCCTAAAGCCCTTACCACCAGGAATTCACAAAATCTGCCTTGCCATCACTGCTGCCACAAACTCCTGCAGCCTAGGCCTCTGAGGCACTCATGGTCATCACTGACGTGGATTACATGTGAGACACTGTCTTTATAAAATCCTAAATTAATTAAAAATTAAAAAGAAGAAAGATACCAAATAGACTAACATTATATCTTGAGAAGCTAGAAAAAGGACACACTAAACTCAGAATGCCTACATTAGAAAAGAAGAAAGATCCCAAATAAATAGCCTGATATTATATTTGAAGAAGCTAGAGAAAAAAACCCCAAACAAACCCAAATTTATCAGAAAAAAATAATAAAGATCAGAACAGAAATACATCAAATAAAGAACAGAAAAACCATAGAAAAAAATCAATAAAACCAAGAGTTGATTCTTTGAGGAAAAAAACAAAATTGACAAAGCCTTAATTAGACTAAGAAAAAAGAGAGAAGACTCAAACAAATAAAATTAGAAATAAAAATGGAGACATTACAACAGATGCCTCAGAAATAAAAAAAGATCATAAAGCACTATTATGAAAAATTATATGTCAACAATTTGGAGAACCTAGAAGAGACGAATACATTCCTAGAAAAATATAACCTACTAAAACTGACTCAAAAAGAAATAGAAAGCTCGAACAAACCAATAACAAAGATATTAAAGTAATTAAACACCTTCCAACAATGAAAAGCACTGAACCAGATGACTTCAGAGAATTCCACAAAACATTTAAAAAAGAATTATTACTAATACATCTTAAACTCTTCAAAAAAAAAAAAAAAAAAAAGAACTAGAGGGAATACTTCCAAATATATTTCATGAGGCCAGCATCACCTTGATATCTAAGCCAGACAAAGATACTTCAAGTAAAAGAAAACTACAGGCCAATAAGTCTTAACTTTGATACTAAAATCTTCAATAAAATATTAGCAAACCAGATTCAACACACATCTGGAAGGTTATACATCATGACCAAGTAGGATTTACGTCTGGTGTACAAGTGGCATTTATGCATGGCATACAAATCAATCAATATAACACATCAATTAAAAGAATAAAAGAGAAAAACCACATGAACCTCTCAATTAATGCAGACAAACTATTTGACAAAATTCAGTATTTTCTTGATACAAACTCTTAACAGTTTAGATATAGAAGGAAAGGTCCTCAAAATAATAGGGACCATTTATGAAAAGCTCACAGCTGAGATCGTAATCAACAGGTACAAATGAAACCTTTTCTAATAAGATCAGTACAGTACAGGGATGCCCCCTTTCACCACTTCTATTCAATGTAGTATTAGAAGTACCAGCAAGGGCAATCAGACAAGGAAAAAAAAAAAAGGCATCTAAATTCAGAAAGATGAAGCAAAATTATCCCTATTTGCAGATGATATTATCCTATAAGTAGAAGGCCTCAAAGATCCACAAAAAACGTTTAGAACCAAAACAATGAATTTGGTAAGGTTGCAGGATACAAAAATCAGTAGCATTGGTGGGGCATGGTGGCTCACACCTGTCATCTCAGCACTTTGGGAGGCCAAGACGGGGGATCACTTGAGGTCAGGAGTTCGAGACCAGCCTGACCAACAAGGTGAAACCTTGTCTCTACTAAAAATACAAAAATTAGCCAGGCATGGTGGTAGGCACCTGTAGTCCCAGCTACTTGGGAGGCTCAGACAGGAGAATTGCTCTAACCCGGGATGGGGAGATTGCAGTGAGCCAAGATTGCACCAGTGTACTGCAGCCTTGGTGATGCAGTGAGACTCCACCTGAAAAAAAAAGAAAAAAATCAGTAGCATTTTTATACACAAATAATGACCTAACTGAAAAAGTAATTAACAAAATAATCATATTTATAATAGCAGCAAAAAATTAAATATCTAAGAATATGTTTAACCAAGGGAGTGAAAGACTTGTATACTGAAAACGATAAAACAATGATAAAAGAAATGGAAGAAGACACAAATAAATGGAAAATTATCCTGTGTTCATGAGCGGGAAAAATTAATTTATTAAAATGTCCTTATTACCTATAGCAATATACAGATTTAACACAATCCTTATCAAAAGTCTAATGGCGCCTCTTTACCAAGGACCCGTCAACATGGGCCGCGTTCGCACCAAAACCGTGAAGAAGGCGGCCCGGGTCATCATAGAGAAGAAGTACTACACGCACCTGGGCAACGACTTCCACACGAACAAGCACGTGTGCGAAGAGATCGCCATTATCCCCAGCAAGAAGCTCCGCAACAAGATAGCAGGCTATGTCACCCATCTGATGAAGCGGATTCAGAGAGGCCCTGTAAGAGGTATCTCCATCAAGCTGCAGGAGGAGGAGAGAGAAAGGAGAGACAATTATGTTCCCGAGGTCTCAGCCCTGGATCAGGAGATAATTGAAGTAGATCCTGACACTAAGGAAATGCTGAAGCTTTTGGACTTCAGCAGTCTGTCCAACCTGCAGGTCACTCAGCCTACAGTTGGGATGAATTTCAAAATGCCTCGGGGACCTGTTTGAATTTTTTCTGCAGTGCTATATTATTTTCAATAAATCTGGGACAACAGCAAAAAAAAAAAAAAAAAGTCTAATGGCCTTTTTCACAGACATAGAAAAAAATTATACTAAAATTCACATGGAATCACAACTCTGAATAGTCAAAGAAATGCTGAGAAAGAAAAATAAAGTTGAAGGCATCACAGTTTCTGAACCAAAATTATATTAGAAAGCTATAGTAATCAAAACAGTGTGGTACTGGCATAAAAACAGAAACATAGACCAATGGAACAGAGTAGAGAGCACAGAAATAAACCCAAGCACATGTGGTCAACTGACTTTTGACAAGAGCATGGAAAGGACATAATGGAGAAAGAGTAATTTCTTTAATAAACAGTGCTGGTAAAACTGGATTTTTTACATCAAAGTATGAAATTGGACCCTTATCTTACACCATACATGAAAATAAATTCAAACTGAATAAAAGATCTAAATGTAAGACCTGAAACCATTAAACTCCTGAAAGAAAACGGGAAAAACTCCTGAACATTGGTATTGGCAATGATTTTTTGGATATCACACCATAAGCTCAGGCAACAATAACAAAAATAAATAAATGGTACTACATCGAACCAAAAATCTTTTGCACAGCAAAGGAAACAATAAAATGAAAAGGCAATCTATGAACTAGGAAAAATATTGCAAACCACATATCTGATAAGGGGTTAATATCAGAAATTTGTAAAGCACTCCTATAACTCAATAGCAGAAAAACAACCCAATTAAAAAATAAGCAAAGGACCTGAACAGACATTTCTCTAAAGAAGACATAAAAATGACCAAGAGGAATATGAAAAGATGTGCAACATTACTAGTCATCAGGGAAATGCAAATTAAAACTGCTATGCGATATCAACCTCACACCTGTAAGGATGGTTATTATAAAAAAGATAAGACATAACAAATGTTGGCAAGGAGGTAGAGAAATGGGAACCCTAGTACACTATTGGTGGGAATGTAGACTGGTACAGCCCTTATGCAAAACAGTGTGGCCGGGCGCGGTGGCTCAAGCCTGTAATCCCAGCACTTTGGGAGGCCGAGATGGGCAGATCACAAGGTCAGGAGATCGAGACCATCCTGGCTAACCCGGTGAAACCCCGTCTCTACTAAAAAATACAAAAAACTAGCCGGGCGAGGTGGCGGGCGCCTGTAGTCCCAGCTACTGGGGAGGCTGAGGCAGGAGAATGGCGTAAACCCGGGAGGCGGAGCTTGCAGTGAGCTGAGATCCGGCCACTGCACTCCAGCCTGGGCGACAGAGCGAGACTCCGTCTCAAAAAAAAAAAAAAAAAAAAAAAAAAAGTGTGGAAGTTCCTAAAGATATTAAAAATAGAATTATTATATGGCCCAGCAATCCCTCTTCTGGGTATATACCCAAAGAAGATGAAGTCACTACCTTGTAAAGACATCTGCTCTCCCATATTCATTGCAGCATTATTCACAATAGCTAAGATACGGAAACAACCTAAATGTTCATCAGTGGATAAATGGATAATGAAAACATGGTGTGTGTGTGTGTGTGTGTATGTGTGTGTGTGTGTGTATATATATATATATATATATGAATATTATTCAACCTTAAAAAAAAGGAGATTCTGTCATTAACCACAATATAAATAGACCTGGAGGACATTATGCTAAGTGAAAGAAACCAGGGCCGGGCGCGGTGGCTCAAGCCTGTAATCCCAGCACTTTGGGAGGCCGAGGCGGGCGGATCACGAGGTCAGGAGATCGAGACCATCCTGGCTGACACGGTGAAACCCCGTCTCTACTAAAAAATACAAAAAACTAGCCGGGCGAGGTGGCGGGCGCCTGTAGTCCCAGCTACTGGGGAGGCTGAGGCAGGAGAATGGCGTGAACCCGGGAGGCGGAGCTTGCAGTGAGCTGAGATCCGGCCACTGCACTCCAGCCTGGACGGCAGAGCGAGACTCTGTCTCAAAAAAAAAAAAAAAAAAAAAAAAAAAGAAAGAAACCAGACACAGAAAGAAAAATATTGTATAATCTCACCTTTATGTGGAATATATATATTTAAAAAGAACTCAAATACATATATACAGAGAACAAAACAGTGGTTACCATGGGTGGATGGGGGTAGGGATGTGGGGCAGGGTGGGAGGGAAAGGAAATGGGGGTGATATAGGTCAAACGATCAAAATAGCAGCATAAAGCAGTTTAGAGAGCCAATGTACAACATGAGGAATAAACTTAGTAAAATTATACTATATTGGAGATTTTTGTTAAATAAGTAGGTTTTAGCTGTTCCTGTCACAAAAAAGTAACTATGTGACGTGAAAGACATGTTAGTCTGCTTCACTATAGTAACCATTTTACTACTATATATATCCCATAACATTATATTGTAAACCTCAGATATACATAATCAAATGCATTTAAAAAATAAAATAAAAATGAGATCAAACTGGTTTCTCTAGATAGCTATTGTATTTTTGAAAAAAATAATTCAGAGAATTATAGCAACATATTAGAGTGGTAGAACAGTATAAAAACTGAAAAATTATAGCTCCCTAACTATTCTATTCCAAATCTTCTTTAAAATTGATAATACTCTAGCCACTAAGTACTTTGCGCTTTTCCCTTTATTTACTTAATAAATTTGTTTCAATTTCACCAACTTCTATTTCCTGAACGAAGAACTTCCTGCATTAAGAAGTTCATTATCTGAATTACAACTTGTTATAATCATTCCACATTCAAGCCAGAAAAACTGTAAATTATCCTGGAGTCTAAGCAAGACTCCTTTAATCTGTTCTGATAGAATTGGGTTTTTGTGTCGATTTCGTATTGCACATTATTGATTTTGTCTCTTCCATATTACTAAGGGAAACATCTTTTAAGATAGTGCAAAAGCCTATGAGGAAATTGGGTGAGTCTGAGAGGTCTAAAAGAGTTGTATCTTAGGAGCAAAGCTTCATGTAATGAAGCACGCCTTCTTCACTCTTTCACACCTCCGAAGAGCAACAGGAACCACAGGCTCTGACTTCGGCTTCTTGCCACCAAACCTCATGTAGGCAACTCTTTAAGCAGTAGCCATTCAAAAATAATTGTCTCTGCTTCCCCCTCTTTCTGCCTAAAATCAGGTCAGAAATTTTCCTTTTGTAAAGGAAATTTACATTTGTAAATGAAATTTCTATTTATATAGACAATTTGTAAATCTCTCCTCATCTGGAGATGACTTTTATTACCTAAGAGGACGTCAGTCTGCAAAATAAACCTTACTAAACAAACCTTATTTACCATATATTTTATAATTACCTTCCCACAACTTATCCCCACCTCAGAGGCCCAACACCATCCATTTGTCTAGTCTCTTCTCCACACTTCATCACTCTTTGTTAAGATAATACATAAGCTCCTGCATCTAACCACTTCTTTGGGGTTGGTAGTTTCAGGTAATATCCCAGATATAGCAGCAAAATACCAAAACTCAATTCATCTGCAGTGTCTGTATTATCTCATTTGACCATTCGCTTGCTAAAATTAAGTAAATGAGAATAGTCTGGACATAACTGAGATCAAGATTGACTAAATGAAATAATTTTACCTCCTCAAAAATTATTTAGCATGTACTGTATGCAGCACACTGTAAACTATGCATAGAGGAAGGAAAAAAAAACTTTTCCTCTACCTTCTTAGGTTCAGTGATTGGAGCTTGTGAATTATACTTAGAAAGGACAGGTTAACAGGAGGGATAGTTTATTTCACATACGCACAGGGGTGATAAGTGGGGGCCTCCAGGAAAAGAAGTGAAAATCCCATTGATAATCTGATAAGGCAGGATATTGGCTTTGTTTCAAAATCATGAGGAGATAGAGCGTTTCCCCATCCTCAGAGAGTAATGAAATGTGATTGGTTTTGGAAATTTATGCTAAGAATGGTACTTGGGAGAGACATTGGGTTTATAAGAGGTGATAGCCAAAAGTCAGAAAAAAAGTAAGACTAAAACTTTAGATAAGGTTTTAGAGGAGGTTAGGGTAGGAAGTTGTATGGGGAGCAGAGCTGGTAGGGGACTTGAAGCTTGACAGACCATGGTGGGTTCGGAGATTGCACATGGAAGCTATGGAGCAGGGTCAGCTCATGGTGACAGACCTGGGGCTCTGTGCCCAGGAAGATGAAAAAGGGAGTGGAATCCGGAAAGCCCCAGAGTTTGGATTTGGGTGGCTGGAAGGAATTTGGTTTTAATCAGAATCAAGGGGTAGGTCTGGAATTCAAGCACAAAGAGTTTTCCTTCCCTATCTCCCCTACCCTCACCCTTTGGGGCCATGAGAAGAAAGAGAACCCTTGAAGTCCTTGGGAAGTCAATTTGAAGGTGAACCAGAAATAGGAATTGGACAGATCATTAACATTCCGATTGGTGTCCACCTACCTCAAGCTCAAAAAGCTCAGGCACCTGGAGATTACCCAATTTGTATCCTCTGATATCACCAGTGTTCAGAGTTTATTCTAAGCAGAAACCACATATGCTACGTTTTAGAGGACACAAGACAGGGGTAAATACTCTACAGTAGTAGAAATGTTTAAGGAGCATGGTTTAAAAGAGAAGCCTCGGCTGGGCGCGGTGGCTCACGCCTGTAATCCCAGCACTTTGGGAGGCTGAGGCGGGCAGATCACGAGGTCAGGAGATTCAGACCATTCTGGCTAACACAGTGAAACCCCGTCTCTACTAAAAATACAAAAAAGTTAGCTGGCGTGGTGGCAGGCGCCTGTAGTCCCAGCTACTCGGGAGGCTGAGGCAGGAGAATGGCGTGAACCCGGGAGGCGGAGCTTGCAGTGAACCCAGATCGCACCACTGCACTCTGGCCTGGGCGACAGAGCAAGACTCTGTCTTTAAAAAAAAAAAAAAAAAAAAAAAAAAAAAGAGAGAGAGAGAAGCCTCAATTCTCCAATGGTAATGGCATAAAGTTACCTAAAAGTGGACATTCAGATTAGGGCTTCTTCCTCATAGAAGCTTTAAGGACTACACATACTATGGGTTTTGTTGTTCAGATGAACAGACTGTCAATTCTAGGGGAAA